TAACCCATCATAATGAGACAGACATTGCAGCCAAATTAGCGTGTAACAAGTTTGAAGTTGAATTAGATCTAGGTATCCCCATCTCTGCTGTCAAAACTGTATTGGTCCAAACATTCAGATCTGATAGGAAAGAACTTACTGACTCCCAACGACCTGAAAGTACTAGTATAAAAAGCTATGATTTGTTCAGATCTGAAACCTACATCTATGGACAGCACAAAACGTCCACTAGACTGTGCGACACAGTGGTTGCAAGGATCAGGTTGGGTTACCGTTACCTGTGGCAGGTGGCTGCAGGTGACGGGTCTCCCAATCCTGAGCACTCCAGTTGCAAACTCTGTGAGCAGGAACTACGGCACGATCTCCCGCACTACATCACTGAATGCCCAGTTATTAGACCTTTCAGACCAGTTGGCACGAGGTACCTGGAGCTTTGCAATTACTTTATTCACTCTCGTATTCTTGAAGATATCCTCACAGTATACCCAAAATTTGCCAGTGCAGGCTATTAAACACATGGCTCTGTATGACTAACTATCCTGCGAGATGGGGACTTGTATTACTCTGCTACCTTATTCAATCTTGTGTTGTTGATATCCTCAAAATGGATCCGGAGTCTGCCAGTGCAGACCGCTTATCACATGCCTCTGTATGACTAACCATCCTGTGTGATGGGGATGTTTTAGCATCATCTAGTTAGCTTTTTTGACACACTGTACTCCACTTCATATATTCTAGGGTAGCTGCACTAATGCACATGTACCTCATATCTTAATAAAAAAAAAAAAAAGGTTGAACTGAATTCCTTCGGGTTGCAGTGAGGATAATAGTGCGTAGTGAAGATGACTGTGGTGATGAAGATAGTGTACACAGCGAAGATAGTGTGCGGTGAAGATGTAAGGAGAGGGGGGGAGAGAGAGGGTGGGGCGAGGGATAGGGGGGGATGATGAGGGGGACAAGATGGATGGATGGATAGAGTGGTTAGATGGAAGGATATAGAGATCAATAGGATAGGTCGATAGATATATATATGATTGCATAGAAGGATATGTCGGTAGATAGATATATATTCGGATGGAAAGATAAATGGATGGACAGAAAGATATATGGGCAGATAGATAGATGAATATATAGGTGGATAGATAAATAGATGGAGATATAGATGGATATATATAGATTGATATATATATGGATATATATATAGATGAATAGATAGATGTAAAGATATATATATATATATATATATATATATATATATATATATATATATATATATATATATATATATATATATATATATATGCAAACAAGCCTGAATGGTCCCCAGGACTATATACAACTGAAAACTCACACCCCAGAAGTGACTCGAACCCATACTCCCAGGAGCAACGCAACTGGTATGTACAGGGACGCCTTAATCCGCTTGACCATCACGACCGGAGTTTTCACGGAGTCATCACGGAGTGAGTTTTCAGTTGTATATAGTCCTGGGGACCATTCAGGCTTGTTTGCATTTGTGTTCCTCACGTGTGCCCCAAAGAATGAGGTGATTTGATAAAATGCTATGCCCAAGATTACCATCCGAGTGCCGGCGGGGAAGTGGTTCAAATAGCTTCGGCTATCACTTCCTTATGTCCGGTCGTGATGGTCAAGCGGATTAAGGCGTCCCTGTACATACCAGTTGCGTTGCTCCTGGGAGTATGGGTTCGAGTCACTTCTGGGGTGTGAGTTTTCAGTTATATATATATATATGTATATAAATATATATATATATATATATATATATATATATATATATATATATATATATATATATATATATATATATATATATATATATATAGCCCCGTCTAATTGTAAAGGGGACCCGGAACCTGCTCTAGCTGGTATGGAGAGGATCCAATGCCTCGTAGAACACAAAAGAGAAGTATGCCATAGGTTCGTACCACTGTTCAGGGACTGCAGGTCCATGAAACTCACTGTAAATTATAATCACTGAACTATCAGTAAAAAAAATTTATCGACAACCCGCATGTTATCTCTTAAATGTTATCATTAATATTAATAATTATGTCAACAATAACAAAGGTTATCTTCCTGCCCTCCGTCATGGCGAGGAGGACGAGGGAAGGGAAATATCAGGGGAGAGGGGAAAGCGCCAAGCCATTACGACTATAAAGAACTTGGAAGGGATCAGGAGAAGGATTTGGGATGGGACGAACATATCCTCGCGTCAGAGCACCAGTGGCAGACTTTATCTAGGCATATATCTGAAGCTTAGGTCGGTGGAGGTCTGGGGAATCTCTCCTTAATACTGTGCTTCACCAGCTGGCCAAAGGACCTCACAGCTGGCCACAAGGTTTAACAGCTGGCCACAAGGTTTAACAGCTGGCCACAAGGTTTAACAGCTGGCCACAGGGCTTTTCAGCTCTCCATACGGCTTTACAGCTGGACAGAGTCACCATCTGGTGTTGTGTTTCACAGCTGGCCACAGGGGATTCACAGCTGGCCACAGGGGATTCACAGCTGGCCACAGGGGATTCACAGCTGGCCACAGGGGATTCACAGCTAGCTCCAGGACTTCACAGCTGGCCCTAGGACCTACCAGCTGGCCCCAGGACCTACCAGCTGGCCCCAGGACTTACCAGTTGGCCCCAGGACTTACCAGCTGGCCCCAGGACTTACCAGTTGGCCCTAGGACTTACCAGCTGGCCCGAAGACTTACCAGTTGGCCCCAGGACTTACCAGCTGGCCCCAAGACTTACCAGCTGGCTCCAGGACTTACCAGCTGGCCACACAGTAAACAGGTGACTGCCCTGCGCATCACAATGGACAGCAAAACTAATAACTCCTGGTTTATATTCCAGTGTGCCACGTTACTAAGAAAGCTCCATAACTTGACTATTTGGTTCTGAACTTGTCCCTGACCTAAGTTCGATTAAGCTAACATCTCCTAACGCATCATATCCTATCCTTCCTCAGCGCAGATTTACGTAATCTAACCTAACTTGAATGGTCGTACTCTGATTTGGCGCCTGCCTTGCCTTACCTTAACTAACCTAACTTACGCGGCGTTACCTGACCTTACTTGAACTTTGTAATTTACACTTTAATTAGTAAGTCAGATTCGCGTGATAAGGCTGATGTCACCTGCGGGCGGGCGTTGGAGACGCTCCGCGGCGCGACGCCGGAAATATCGCGGCGTTTCTTTCCGCTCTTGTCGTAATAAGATCGCGGTGTACCGCGTTATCGTCGCGCGTTATCGTCAGTTATCGTCGCGAGCATCAATTCCACCCCCGACGTTGTTGATATCTAACGATGTATCTATATTATAAGAGAGAATATCTCTCTTTCTCATTGTCTCTCGCTCTCTATCTTAGGGTTACCCAGAAGTAAATGAATAAAATATTGGATAATATCTATACTCTATCGCTGGCCATTAATTACTGGGGAGGAAGAGACCAAGCGTTTGGTTATACTCTTTTATTAAAGGTGCCAAGGCAATGATTACGTCGTCTTGGGGTGGTTAGTAGAGCGGCGGCCTCGCTGCTTGGAGGGTTGGGGTTCGAGCACCAATGGTTCAAGAAGATGGGCACCGGTCCTTCACTACTTCCTTATATCTCAGATTATTTGCCCTTATATCCCAGCACCTTGCCCTTATATCCCAGCACCTTGCCTTTATATCCCAGCACGATGCCCTTATATCCCAGCACGATGCCCTTATATCCCAGCACGATGCCCTTATATCCCAGCACCTTGCCCTTATATCCCAGCACCTTGCCCTTATAGCCCAGCGCCTAGCCCTTATATCCCAGCGCCTTGCCCTTATATCCCAGCACCTTGCCCATATATCCCAGCGCCTTGCCCATATACCCCAGCGCCTTGCCCTTATATCCCAGCACCTTGAACTTATACCCCAGCACCTTGCCCTTATATCCCAACACCTTGCCCATATATCCCAGCGCCTTGCCCTTATATCCCAGCACCTTGCCCATATATCCCAGCACCTTGCCCTTATATCCCAGCACCTTGCCCTTATATCCCAGCACCTTGCCCTTATATCCCAGCACCTTGCCCATATATCCCAGCACCTTGCCCTTATATCCCAGCACCTTGCCCATATATCCCAGCGCCTTGCCCTTATATCCCAGCACCTTGCCCTTATATCCCAGCACCTTGCCCTTATATCCCAGCACCTTGCCCTTATACCCCAGCACCTTGCCCTTATATCCCAGCGCCTTGCCCTTATATCCCAGCACCTTGCCCATATATCCCAGCGCCTTGCCCTTATATCCCAGCACCTTGCCCTTATACCCCAGCACCTTGTCCTTATATCCCAGCGCCTTGCCCTTATATCCCAGCGCCTTGCCCGTATATCCCAGCACCTTGCCCTTATATCCCAGCACCTTGCCCATATATCCCAGCGCCTTGCCCTTATATCCCAGCACCTTGCCCATATATCCCAGCACCTTGCCCTTATATCCCAGCACCTTGCCCTTATATCCCAGCATCTTGCCCCTTGCCCATATATCCCAGCACCTTGCCCATATATCCCAGCACCTTGTCCATATATCCCAGCACCTTGTCCATATATCCCAGCACCTTCCCCTTATATCCCAGCTCCTTGCCCATATATCCCAGCGCCTTGCCCTTATATCCCAGCACCTTACCCTTATACCCCAGCACCTTGCCCTTATATCCCAGCGCCTTGCCCTTATATCCCAGCACCTTGCCCATATATCCCACCACCTTGCCCTTATATCCCAGCACCTTGCCCATATATCCCAGCACCTTGCCCATATATCCCAGCACCTTGCCCATATATCCCAGCACCTTGCCCATATATCCCAGCACCTTGTACCAATACAGTTTCCAGGTGCTATATATATAATCATAAAACGCTTCGGGCTTTCTCCCTATAATGTCTTTTACGAAGTAAATAAGATTTGTGTTGTCTCAATAAGGCGACCCGCAACACTAGAGAACATGGTGTAACTCAAATGCAAAATTTGGTCATAACCGCTACACTGTACTCCGGCGGGTCGGACAAAACCTCTACACTGTACTCCGGCGGGTCGGACAAAACCTCTACACTGTACTCCGGCGGGTCGGACAAAACCTCTACACTGTACTCCGGCGGGTCGGACAAAACCGCTACACTGTACTCCGGCGGGTCGGACAAAACCTCTACACTGTACTCCGGCGGGTCGGACAAAACCACTACACTGTACTCCGGCGGGTCGGACAAAACCTCTACACTGTACTCCGGCGGGTCGGACAAAACCACTACACTGTACTCCGGCGGGTCGGACAAAACCTCTACACTGTACTCCGGCGGGTCGGACAAAACCTCTACACTGTACTCCGGCGGGTCGGACAAAACCTCTACACTGTACTCCGGCGGGTCGGACAAAACCTCTACACTGTACTCCGGCGGGTCGGACAAAACCGCTACACTGTACTCCGGCGGGTCGAACAAAACCTCTACACTGTACTCCGGCGGGTCGGACAAAACCGCTACACATTACTCCGGCGGGTCGGACAAAACCGCTACACATTACTCCGGCGGGTCGGACAAAACCGCTACACTGTACTCCGGCGGGTCGGACAAAACCGCTACACTGTACTCCGGCGGGTCGGACAAAACCTCTACACTGTACTCCGGCGGGTCGGACAAAACCGCTACACTGTACTCCGGCGGGTCGGACAAAACCGCTACACTGTACTCCGGCGGGTCGGACAAAACCTCTACACTGTACTCCGGCGGGTCGGACAAAACCTCTACACTGTACTCCGGCGGGTCGGACAAAACCTCTACACTGTACTCCGGCGGGTCGGACAAAACCGCTACACTGTACTCCGGCGGGTCGGACAAAACCGCTACACATTACTCCGGCGGGTCGGACAAAACCGCTACACTGTACTCCGGCGGGTCGGACAAAACCTCTACACTGTACTCCGGCGGGTCGGACAAAACCGCTACACTGTACTCCGGCGGGTCGGACAAAACCTCTACACTGTACTCCGGCGGGTCGGACAAAACCGCTACACATTACTCCGGCGGGTCGGACAAAACCGCTACACTGTACTCCGGCGGTTCGGACAAAACCGCTACACATTACTCCGGCGGGTCGGACAAAACCTCTACACTGTACTCCGGCGGGTCGGACAAAACCTCTACACTGTACTCCGGCGGGTCGGACAAAACCTCTACACTGTACTCCGGCGGGTCGGACAAAACCTCTACACTGTACTCCGGCGGGTCGGACAAAACCGCTACACTGTACTCCGGCGGGTCGGACAAAACCGCTACACATTACTCCGGCGGGTCGGACAAAACCGCTACACTGTACTCCGGCGGGTCGGACAAAACCTCTACACTGTACTCCGGCGGGTCGGACAAAACCGCTACACTGTACTCCGGCGGGTCGGACAAAACCTCTACACTGTACTCCGGCGGGTCGGACAAAACCGCTACACATTACTCCGGCGGGTCGGACAAAACCGCTACACTGTACTCCGGCGGGTCGGACAAAACCGCTACACATTACTCCGGCGGGTCGGACAAAACCTCTACACTGTACTCCGGCGGGTCGGACAAAACCGCTACACATTACTCCGGCGGGTCGGACAAAACCGGCTACACTGTACTCCGGCGGGTCGGACAAAACCGCTACACATTACTCCGGCGGGTCGGACAAAACCGCTACACTGTACTCCGGCGGGTCGGACAAAACCGCTACACTGTACTCCGGCGGGTCGGACAAAACCGCTACACTGTACTCCGGCGGTCGGACAAAACCGCTACACTGTACTCCGGCGGGTCGGACAAAACCTCTACACTGTACTCCGGCGGGTCGGACAAAACCGCTACACTGTACTCCGGCGGGTCGGACAAAACCTCTACACTGTACTCCGGCGGGTCGGACAAAACCGCTACACTGTACTCCGGCGGGTCGGACAAAACCGCTACACATTACTCCGGCGGGTCGGACAAAACCTCTACACTGTACTCCGGCGGGTCGGACAAAACCGCTACACTGTACTCCGGCGGGTCGGACAAAACCGCTACACATTACTCCGGCGGGTCGGACAAAACCGCTACACTGTACTCCGGCGGGTCGGACAAAACCGCTACACATTACTCCGGCGGGTCGGACAAAACCGCTACACTGTACTCCGGCGGGTCGGACAAAACCGCTACACTGTACTCCGGCGGGTCGGACAAAACCTGAGACATAACCACGTATATTTGAGCTGTAGTTCATTACTTCTGTCAATACAGCATAAAATATATTATTTTTTTCCCCTCAATCGTTCGGTGATTTTGGGATAAAGAGGAGGTTTAGAGTAGCCGAGGATATGAGGTCGTGATTGGCCTTCTGGCAGCCATTAGCGTCTTGCGAGGGGGCCCCGGGAAGGTCGTTAAGGTATCAAACAGCGCTCTAAATCATCGGGCCGTCTGCAAACTGCCAGACAGGTATAGGGAAGCCTCTTGGGTTATCTTCACCGTCAATCATCTCTTGTGAGTGAAGAGGGAGGGGGGGGGGGGAGGGGGGTATTATTATCCTGCACTCTGTGTGCGTCTTATTTACTGTGTTTCTGTGGTTATCTAAACACACACACACACACACACACACACACACACACACACACACACACATACACACCAGCAGAACACTCACCAAGGAGGCGATTTGGGAAGGGACAGAAGAAAGTGAGCCTCAAAGCGATGTACACTAACATAGATGGAATTACAAATAAAGCAAATGAGCTTGGAGAACTGGTACTAGAGGAAAACCCAGACATAATAGCCCTCACAGAAACAAAGATCACGAAAACGATAACAAATGCAGTGTTCCCACAGGACTATTATGTTATGAGGAAAGAGAGGGAAGGAAGAGGCGGTGGTGGTGTAGCTCTGCTGGTAAGAAAAGGCTGGGATTTTGAGGAGATGGATATTCAGGGCTGTGAAGGTTTCAGTGACTACATAGCAGGTACTGTAACAAATGGAGGGAAAAAAATTATAGTCGCAGTCATATATAATCCACCACCAAATGACAGAAGACCTAGACAGGAATATGATAGAAACAACATGGCCACCATTAATATAATAGAAAGAGCAGCTTCTGTTGCTAGCAGGAATGGATCTGGACTACTAATTATGGGAGACTTCAACCATGGGAAGATAGATTGGAAGAACAGAGACCCGCATGGAGGACCAGAAACATGGAGAGTTAAGCTGCTGGACGTGGCAACAAGAAACTTTCTAAGCCAGCACACCAAAGAACCAACAAGAATGAGAGGAGAAGATGAACCAGCAATGCTTGATTTGATATTTACCCTAAATGAATGGGATATAAGGGAAGTTAAGATGGAAGCGCCCTTGGGAATGAGTGACCACAGTGTATTGAACTTTGAGTACCTGGTAGAGCTAGGACTTATCTCCCCCCAAAAAGAACTAGGAATCAAAAGGCTGGCATACCGAAAGGGGAATTATGAACAGATGAGAAGTTTCCTAAGTGAAATACCTTGGGACACAGACCTCAGAGACAAGTCTGTACAGGGTATGATGGACTATGTTACCCAAAAGTGTCAGGAGGCAGTAAACAGGTTCATCCCGGCCCAAAGGGAAAAATCCGAGAAGCAACAGAAGAATCCATGGTATAATAGGGCATGTATGGAAGCGAAGAAACTGAACAAAAAGGCGTGGAGGAACTTCCGGAATAACAGAACACCAGAAAGCAGAGAGAGATACCAGAGAACCAGGAATGAGTACGTCAGGGTGAGAAGAGAAGCAGAGAAAAATATTGAAAATGATATAGCAAACAAAGCCAAGACCGAACCAAAGCTACTCCACAGTCACATCAGAAGGAAAACAACAGTGAAAGAACAGGTATTGAAACTTAGAACAGGCGAGGACAGGTATACAGAGAATGACAGAGAGGTGTGTGAGGAACTCAACAAGAGGTTCCAGGAGGTCTTCACAATAGAACAGGGTGAGGTCACTGTGCTAGGAGAAAGGGAGGTAAACCAGGCGGCCTTGGAGGAGTTCGAAATTACGAGAGAGGAGGTCAAGAGACACCTGCTGGATCTGGATGTTAGAAAGGCTGTTGGTCCAGATGGGATCTCACCATGGGTACTGAAAGAGTGTGCAGAGGCACTTTGATTGCCACTCTCCATAGTGTATAGTAAGTCACTAGAGACGGGAGACCTACCAGAAATATGGAAGACGGCGAATGTGGTCCCAATATACAAAAAGGGCGACAGACAAGAGGCACTGAACTACAGGCCAGTGTCCTTGACTTGTATACCATGCAAGGTGATGGAGAAGATCGTGAGAAAAAACCTGGTAACACATCTGGAGAAAAGGGACTTCGTGACAAATCGCCAACATGGGTTCAGGGAGGGTAAATCTTGCCTTACAGGCTTGATAGAATTCTACGATAAGGTGACAGATTAAGCAAGAAAGAGAGGGCTGGGCGGACTGCATTTTCTTGGATTGTCGGAAAGCCTTTGACACAGTACCGCATAAGAGGCTGGTACATAAGCTGGAGAGACAGGCAGGTGTAGCTGGTAAGGTGCTCCAGTGGATAAGGGAGTACCTAAGCAATAGGAAGCAGAGAGTTACGGTGAGGGGTGAGACCTCCGATTGGCGTGAAGTCACCAGTGGAGTCCCACAGTGCTCTGTACTCGGTCCTATCTTGTTTCTGATATATGTAAATGATCTCCCGGAGGGTATCGATTCATTTCTCTCAATGTTTGCGGACGATGCTAAAATAATGAGAAGGATTAAAACAGAAGAGAAATGTTTGAGGCTTCAAGAAGACCTAGACAAGCTGAAGGAATGGTCGAACAAATGGTTGTTAGAGTTTAACCCAACCAAATGTAATGTAATGAAGATAGGTGTTGGGAGCAGGAGGCCAGATACAAGGTATCATCTGGGAGAGGAAATTCTTCAGGAGTCAGAGAAGGAAAAAGACTTGGGGGTTGATATCACGCCAGACCTGTCTCCTGCAGCACATATCAAGCGGATAACATCAGCGGCATATGCCAGGCTGGCCAACATACGAACGGCATTCAGAAACTTGTGTAAAGAATCATTCAGAACTTTGTATACCACATATGTCAGGCCAATCCTGGAGTATGCAGCCCCAGCATGGAGTCCATATCTAGTCAAGGATAAGACTAAACTGGAAAAGGTTCAAAGGTTTGCCACCAGACTAGTACCCGAGCTGAGAGGTATGAGCTACGAGGAGAGACTACGGGAATTAAACCTCACTTCGCTGGAAGACAGAAGAGTTAGGGGGGACATGATCACCACATTCAAGATTCTGAAGGGGATTGATAGGGTAGATAAAGACAGTCTATTTAACACAAGGGGAACACGCACAAGGGGACACAGGTGGAAACTGAGTGCCCAAATGAGCCACAGAGATATTAGAAAGAACTTTTTTAGTGTCAGAGTGGTTGACAAATGGAATGCATTAGGGGGTGATGTGGTGGAGGCTGACTCCATACACAGTTTCAAGTGTAGATATGACAGAGCCCGATAGGCTCAGGAATCTGTACACCTGTTGATTGACGGTTGAGAGGCGGGACCAAAGAGCCAGAGCTCAACCCCCGCAAACACAACTAGGTGAGTACAACTAGGTGAGTACACACACACACACACTCGGAGTGTATCGATTCATTTCTCTCAATGTTTGCGGACGATGCTAAAATTATGAGAAGGATTAAAACAGAAGAGGACTGTTTGAGGCTTCAAGAAGACCTAGACAAGCTGAAGGAATGGTCGAACAAATGGTTGTTAGAGTTTAACCCAACCAAATGTAATGTAATGAAGATAGGTGCAGGGAACAGGAGGTCAGATACAAGGTATCATCTGGGAGAGGAAATTCTTCAGGAGTCAGAGAAGGAAAAAGACTTGGGGGTTGATATCACGCCAGACCTGTCTCCTGCAGCACATATCAAGCGGATAACATCAGCGGCATATGCCAGGCTGGCCAACATACGAACGGCATTCAGAAACTTGTGTAAAGAATCATTCAGAACTTTGTATATCACATATGCCAGGCCAATCCTGGAGTATGCAGCCCCAGCATAAAGTCCATATCTAGTCAAGGATAAGACTAAACTGGAAAAGGTTCAAAGGTTTGCCACCAGACTAGTACCCGAGCTGAGAGGTATGAGCTACGAGGAGAGACTACGGGAATTAAACTTCACTTCGCTGGAAGACAGAAGAGTTAGGGGGGACATGATCACCACATTCAAGCTTCTGAAAGGAATTGATAGGGTAGATAAAGACAGTCTATTTAACACAAGGGGAACACGCACAAGGGGACACAGGTGGAAACTGAGCGCCCAACGCCCAAATGAGCCACAGAGATATTAGAAAGAACTTTTTTAGTGTCAGAGTGGTTGACAAATGTAATGCATTAGGAAGTGATGTGGTGGAGGCTGACTCCATACACAGTTTCAAGTGTAGATATGATAGAGCCCAATAGGCTCAGGAACCTGTACACCTGTTGATTGACAGTTGAGAGGCGGGACCAAAGAGCCAGAGCTCAACCCGCGCAAACACAACTAGGTGAGTACGCACGCACGCACGCACACACACACACACACACACACACACACACCATTTGTTCGACCATTCCTTCAGCTTGTCTAGGTCTTCTTGAAGCCTCAAACAGTCCTCTTCTGTTTTAATCCTTCTCATAATTTTAGCATCGTCCGCAAACATTGAGAGAAATGAATCGATACACACCGGGTGTGTGTGTGTGTGTGTGTGTGTGTGTGTGTGTGTGTGTGTGTGTGTGTGTGTGTTTAGATAACCACAGAAACACAGTAAATAAGACGCACACAGAGTACAGGATATAACAAGGATAATTCTGAAGGGAATTGATAGGGTAGATAAAGACAGTCTATTTAACACAAGGGGAACACGTACAAGGGGACACAGGTGGAAACTGAGTGCCCAAATGAGCCACAGAGATATTAGAAAGAACTTTATTAGTGTCAGAGTGGTGGACAAATGGAATGCATTAGGAAGAGATGTGGTGGAGGCTGACTCCATACACAGTTTCAAGTGTAGATATGATAGAGCCCGATAGGCTCACGAATCTGTACACCTGTTGATTGACGGTTGAGAGGCGGGACCAAAGAGCCAGAGCTCAACCCCCGCAAACACAACTAGTTGAGTGCAACTAGGTGAGTACACACACACACGCAC